GGGGCTGGAGCGGGGCTGGAGCGGGGCTGGAGCGGGGCTGGAGCGGGGATGGAGCGGGGCTGGAGTGGAGCTGGAGCGGGGCTGCAGCGGGGCTGCAGCGGGGCTGCAGCGGGGCTGGAGCGGGGCTGAAGCGGGGCTGGAGCGGGGCTGGAGCGGGGCTGGAGCGGGGCAGGAGCGGGGTAGGAGGTGCGGAGATGTCTGCTCCCAGTACAAACGGGTAGCGTATGTACTTCACGACTCGACTCCCTCCGACCACAAGGCTCTGCGGGCATAGCCAGATCCGCGCACGCGCACTCATACACACACACAGAGTTGTCACCCCGAGTCCTGAGCGACACAATAGAGAGCAGTCGTCTCGGGGGAATAAGGCGCGAGGCACAGTTGCTGACAACGGTGCCAACGAATTTGCGAGAGAGGGACGGATAGAGAAAGAGAGAGGGGGGGGGGGGGTAAGGGTAGAAAGAGATAGACCTCACTGCGAGACGAGAGAGGGGCATAGAGCGGGTCGGGCAGACAGCAGGGAGCAACAGGCAAAAGGCGTTTCGCGCGCGGGCCCGGCCGGGCGTGGGCATGGCGCCGCCGGGCCTATCCCCCCCCCCCTGTCCCTGGCCTGGCCTCTGAGTTTTACTTCATTTGTTCCTCTCGACCCTACCCGACCCAGACGATCCGCGGGGAGGAGAGGAGGGGGGGGGGGTAGCGGGGGTAGCGGCGTTAACGAGGAAAAGAAACTGCAAGTCGATATTCGAACTCGTCGCCGTCGCGTTCACGAGTAAAGCAATGTCGCGGACCGCGCCCGGATTGGGAGGAAAGAAAAACACAATACAAGGACTCCGGAGGAGGGGGAGGGGAGGGGGTATACTCATTCGCTGCGCGTCGGGGCGTGAACACATTCATTTCCGAACAGACGCGGGCAGAGAGAGGGAGAAAAAAAATGCAGCTCACGGTGACGTTTGATAGCTTGATGATGGCGCTGACAGGCGTGGTGTGTCGAGAGGGCATGCAGATGAGGGACGGGCGGGCTGAGCTGTCTGTTTCTGCTTCCATCCGGCTCCGCACCCTCCACTGAAAAAAAAGAAAAGATTGTGTGTTTTATTTTTGGAAGAATCCTCTTCAGAATTATTATTCTCTCTTCGATTTCGCGTCGCACTGTCGCTCATGACACGTCGTCATCGATCATTTCTATCTTCTGCGTTTTGTCTGCCTTCTTTTCTTTCTCCATTTCTTTCTTTCATTAACTTTTTGATATACTTTATATTGGTCTCATTGTATTACGTGTCCGGGATAAAAATCGAGTACAACGGACAGGCCGGGGGTTGGGGGGAAAGGGTGCTGCTGCTTATATTCATAAGAACACGAGTCAACCCCCCCGCTCCCCCTCTCCATCCGCGGCGTTTCTTTATACTGCCATGTTACAACTCGGCTGCAAGAAAAGGTGGGGGACGCCCCGGCCCTGCCACCCTCGTGGAGTAAAACCGTGCGGTGGGTAAACATCCTCATACTCGTAGGCCCCACCCCACCTCTCTCCACCTCCGACAGCAATAAGGCCTCGGCAGATATGTGCGCCCCTTAATACCCCGCTCCGCCCCGCCCCGCCCCGCCCCGCCCGGCGCTCGCTCGCTCATAGCGCCTGCAGGGGCGGCGGTAGGCAACACGCCTCGGTGTCTCGCAGGTCTGTGCGGCGGGCGGCCTACCCCCCGGCTCGCAGGCGCCCCGCGCCAGCTCCCTCCCACGGCGCTCACGTCACATACTAAAACAAACTAAAAATAAAATAAGTCCTTGCTAAAAATATAAACGTGTGTGCCGGGGAATGTTGTTTTTTTTTGGGGGGGGGGTATAAAGATGTAATTTATTACAGGTGATAATTCACATGTGATGTTTGTGTCTGTATTACTTTCTCACGTTCTCCACCGGTGGTGGTGGACCGTCCTATCTCGAGCCAGAGATATGCCGCACCCCACCCCCATGAGCCGGGGAGGGGGGGGGTATGGAGATGTCCCTGCAGCGGTCACGGCCAGGATGTCGCGGCGAGGCACGGCAGGGGCCGAAATGACCTGGGCAGCCAATTTACGGTCGCGCTCCTGTGTGTGTGTGTGTGTGTGTGTGTGTGTGTGTGTGCATGTGTGTGATATAGAGCCTCCAGGGGGCACGATGCGCGCCCACCCACTCGCCTCCAACCGGCGCGCAGAGCAGTCGAAATACAAAATTGAAACACTAAAACGGTTTATGAATGCAAATTAAAATAAAGTATTCAGCAGTGGGAGCGGCGAGGGGGGGGG